TATATATATATATATATATATATATATATATATATATATATATATATATATATATATATATGTGTGTGTTCTTTCACGTGACATGCATCCACTTTAAAGCTGCGAAACTGTGCGGCCCAGCGGTGTAATAAATTCCACGCGAAGTTCCGATTGTAAGAAAAACGAGTTGCTGTTTCTACTAAAAGAATAATCGATTTCATCATTCGGCTCACAAAACCAGTTACCAGCGCCAGTTTCCCGATGAACTTCTAGAATCGCGCTAAAGGCAAAAGATTCGGAAGATTGCTAGACTGGATATCTATACACACACACACACACGCATGTAATGAGATTGAAAACTAAATTCTTAAAAAATTTATAAGAATTAAGAAATTGAGGAGTCTGAGGCGACCATGTATTACCTGAATTGCAATCAGAAAAAAGAGTTCGTAGCTTTATTAAATTTTATATACACTTGCATTTTCGAGGAGTCGTGCAGAACAAAGTAAAATTTATTGTAGTTATTGAAGAGACGTTGCTTCACGATCGACTTGAAATATTTCATATTTGGCCGAGGGCGATAAATATCGGAGAGACGACGGTGTGGTACCGTCGCTTCAAGAGCGAGATTAAGCTGCAAAAGGGGTCATAGCGATGGCCATGTAAATCGTGACGAAGCGCACGCGAGCAGGTAGAAGGAAAAAAAAACTGGCTGGTCGGTGTAGAAGCGACCGAGACCCTCGGGACGTGTGTCTGGGACGAGACTGGATTTCTCTCCTCGGCGCTCTTCTCCGTCCAATTCCCTGCAGTCCTTTTCCTCTTTTTACCTGTCAACCTGCCGGCTACATCAGGTACGTAAAGGTAGGGTAAAGCGAGCAGCTGGAGGTATTGACTGGGGTGCAGCGTGTAGCACGCGCTCGCGCTAATCCCGCTCGAGCCGAAGAGGGCCGAGCGGGCAGTCGAGGCGCGGCGGAAATAGCCGAGCGAGCAAGTGACTCTCGGTTCGGCTCCGCACAGCGTGCTCCATCGGCGCGCACTGCTTACCCCCACTCCGGCCGGGCGCCCCAATCCGTGCGCGGCCGCGCCGAGCGCCGTCGTTCGTCGGAATCCGACCAATCAGAGCGCGCGCGCCTGCGGTAGTGCAACTGCGGCGGTGGTGGCGTCGTCGTCTCCTCGCTTCGCGCAGTTACAACTTGTTCGGCCATTGAGCTGCGCGCTTCCGCTCCGCGTTGAGTGTCGCGTTTACGGCGTTTGAGTTTTGCGTGCGTGTTCATCCTCGGGCTCTCTACGTTCACTACCACCACCGTCTCCTCCTCCTTCTCCTCCTCCTGTTTCGCTGCCACTACCACATCGTCGTCGTTGTCGTCGTCGCTACCGCCAACATCACCACCACCCTCTATCCCGGCGACTTCTTTTTTTTCCGTTACGTCCGGTGTACTCGCGCGCGTCTTCCGGTGGTCTAAGTGACGGTTTCGGGAGTAAAAGGAGAGAGAGACAGACGCAGCAGGAGCCATGCGTTTCTCGTGGGTGTTCGCGGCCACGGTGCTGCTGGTCTTGGCCACGGGGGCGAGGTGCAAGAGGAAGTTCGACGGTGACTTCGAATTCGCCGAGGAGGTGAGTCGCACACAAGTTTCACACTAACACCCTTCGTCTCGCGCTCGTCTTTTTCGCCCTGCGGCACCTGTCTCGTGTGAGGATTACGACGGGCCGCTCTCTTTTTTTTCCTCCCCGTCGGCCGGAGTAAAATACGCGACGACAGGTATCTGTCCGTCTTTGCCGTCGGTCGCACAGCGCGCGCGTTATTCCGACAGCCGTGTTCGATGTTTGTGATTCTCCGCAATGTGATGTCGTGTGCACGCAGTGCAGGACGACTCGGTGTCGGGCGAAAGGGACGAAAGAAAAGCGCGACAGAACGGCGCAATAATAATAACAGCGGTAACCCCGCAGAATGGCGCCTCGCCGCCGTTGCAAATTGTTACGAAACGTTCACTCTGAAGTTGGCCCTTGTTCCACTGACAAATCATGAAGCCGGTTCTTTCGAACGGTATTGCCGCGTAATGTATTTCCCATTCGAATTTACACGCGTCTCGCGAGATCCCTACGATGGCTGTATGTTGCGTCCGCGCAAGTAGAATTATTCGAAATTGAGCAGTGTGAATATCGAGAACACGCATGAAGAATATGTAGGTTAGGCCGTTGTGAAATGTATCCGTGATGTTTCGGTCGTATCGTTCGTTACGTGTACGCTGAATCTCGAAGGGCGAGCTTGAAGGACGTCGTAGTAGGTTATTTACGTGACGATATGGATCGCCCCTTTGATCGAAATGCATCGGTATTATATCGGTCGTATTATTCGTTACTACGTGTGTGCCGAGTGTCGAAGGGCGGACTTGAAGGACGCGTCGTAGGTTATTTACGTGACGATACGAATCGCCCCGTTGATTTCTATGTATCAGTATTATTTTGACTGCATCACACGTTACGTGCATATCCAATTTCCAAGTGAACTTGAGGGGCGCTTTATGGGTTACTTACGTGATGCTGTGAATCGTCCCATTGATTTAAATACGGTCATGTCATTTCGATTGTATTATTCGACCGTATTATTTGTTACGCGTGCGTATGTGCGCGTTAAATTTTCAAGGATGAGATGGAGGACACGTTATAGGTTATTCACGTGACATACTGTGAATCGTCCCGTTGATTTAAGTACGCCCGTGCGCTATTTCGATTATATTATTCGTTACGTAGGTGTGCTAAATTTCGAAGGTCGGACTTGAAGGGCGATTTATACAGGCTACTTATGTAACATCGTGAATCGCCCTATCGATTTAAATACAAAAAGCCGACTACAAACGAAGGCAAACGAAACGTGAACGTCTCGTAAATAATGCAAAGGTCAAGGGACACTTGAGGAGAGTCTTTCTCCGAGACTTAGCATATTTTTACCACGTTGTCCGGACAATTGCTCTGTTTCATATTTCATGTGTGGTTTCCCAATAAAGTCTCATACACATGCATGGGATTTTAATTCTCGAATTCTCGTTTGTTCAATACGCGATTTCCCGGCGTTTCCGGATGCGGGAAACACGCCGCGTTTTCCATATGTGCGAAGGCTTCCATTTACGTAACATTGATATCGCATTTTGAGCCGTAACGAGTACACACGATCGATCGGGGACACCTCTTCTTTGGCGATCGCGTTACAACGTTGCAGCACGCAATTACAATCCCCGCTTCGCTGTTGTGCACGCAGAGACGGGCGAGCACACAGCGAGACCGTACTCTTACTTTCACGTAACTGGATCTCGCACTGAAATACAGGTTATCGATGTAATTGTTTATTTTGCTCGCGGGGCTCGCTCGCTCGCTCGCACGCGCGCGGGTGAGTTCGATTCTCGCATTCCGCGCATTGTTGATGTCGGGCGCGACGTAAACACCGTTATTCGACAACCCTTTTCTGGCGCCGCGACCGCCCCCGCGTTCACGATTGAATCGGCGAATTCATCGCGTGAATCCACCCGACATCGTTAGCAGAATTGATCTTTTTTCACCGGCTGCTTTTTTACCGAATCTCTCCGTATTCTCGAGCCCGCGACGCGAGATACAAGAAAAAAAATACTAGTGCCCACACACAGACCTAATTCGGGGCATTCTTTAAATACGGATATTTAGGATACATACATGGAAAAAATAGTTTGTTGCAGCAGCAAACTAATTTGCTACATATGGACAGTTAAATATAATTCGCTGTGTTAGTTACTTTTTCTTTGCTGCAGAAATCTATTTTCTCGCTATGATAACAAGAAAATTTGCTCCTACAACTCCTAGCAAGAAAAATGGCTAACATAGCAAATTTGCTATGCAGATGGACAACTAAACATAATTTACTGCTTTAGCTACTTCTTTTGTTGCAGGAGTAGATTTCTTGTTATCATAGCAAGGAAATTGGCTCCTACAGCAAAGAAAAAGTGGCTAATACAACAAATTATGTTTAGTTGTCCATATATAGCAGATATTTTTTTTTCATGTACGTATATTATATTAGTTTAAATTATCCGACGTTGCCTGGATTCTCACAAAATGTCAAAGGGATGAAATCAGGGGAAGGAGATGAGGTTTCTAAGTTTCTAAGTTTCATGATAGTCTATATTATCTGCAGAACTAAATTGTACCTTTTACTAAGATTACTCTGTAGGAGTAACTATGCAAAATTTGATCCAGATCGGTCAAAGGGAGTTTATAGGGAACCAACAGACAGATAGACATTCTATTTTGTGTGTGTGTGTGTGTATGAATAAATCCACCGCAGCCATCTTGATTTATGACATCAAAAGAACAAGGAAATGCATGCCCAAAATTCTTGCAAAGTAAATCGACATGAAAAAAATATACAAATGATGCTTATAATTGATTAAGCATATCCTTAAAATATCCCGAACATTTTCCTCTTTTGCTTTAACAATCAATAACTAAAATTAAGATGACAGCCTAATATGTAGGCTTCTTTCTGAACCTATATTTCCTTATTATTTTGTCACTTCAATTTTACGGTTACTTATTGATTGTTTGGGTCAAAGGAAAGTGTTTGTAGTATTTTATAGGTGCGCTTAATCGATTGCAGGTGTCACTTTTTGGATATATCTTTTTCTTTCAACATACTTTGCAGGAATTTTGGATATGCATTTCCCCACTTCTAACGTCATCAACCAAGAGCCTCAAACATCAAAAACAATAAGAATGTCTAGTATAG